TTTCTACAACTCATCGCTCGCATTTGCTTATTTCGCTTAGGCATATTCAATTATCAACTAATAACAATTAACAAACAAATTAACGCAAACTAAAATTACAAGAGTCCTGTCACGGTTGCCAAATGTGATGTTAATATCACCTATTATTTATTATTTTGTTCGTACTTTCGTGGTCTGTCGCGTTAATGAGTAAGAATTCGTTTTAATTTTGAAAATATTTATGAATATTGAGTTTAAAGTAAAATTATAAATGAAATATCTATGATTATTTGAATTGAGCTTTAAGTAAAGCTAGACTTTACCCTAGTTTCTTATGGTGCGAAGTGACGCATAAACAGAGCTTAAATCATTCTCTTTCGACTCTCATTATTCGAAACAAACTTGAATAAATCATATTTCTTCTTACCCCCTACAATTACTGCAGCGTGAACTTCCTCAACATAGCCTATAAGCTCATCATCATTTAAAATATATATATTTATATGAGCATTCCGAATCTTTCTCCGGAAAGGTTGATAATAGTCCGGCTTTGGAGATTACTCTTTGCGTTGAGATATGCTGCATAAGCTGCCATCTTTAATGCATGTAATATATTTTATTTAGACATATAATTCAACATATTGAAAAGTTAGTAAAAAAGTTTGAATGATATAGGATTTGAGGTCGAACCAATCATCTCTTTGGTAGTTATGTATCTGGAAGAAGAGGCAATATGTTAGCATTCAAAGTTATCTAAGTGATTCACTTAATATTATCTTAGGTGTTCCACAAGGAACTATTCTAGGTCTTCTTTCGTTCATTTTATACATTAATGATCTACTCAAAGTTTTTCCAAATAGTCCATTTTATGCCGTTTTATGCCGATGGTACTGCTATTTATTAGTCTTGAAAATAAATGGATAGAAGCAAATACTCGTATAAACAACTAGTTAATTAAAGCAAGCAGATAGCTATGTCTAAATCATTTGTCGTTAAACGCCTTAAAATGATTCATATGTTATTTAAATTGTATAGGGAGAGTTTCCAAAAAGAATTAAATAAACATATTAACAATAATTCTATAAATATGATTTATTATTATAAAATATCTTGTTATAGTGGTGAATACGTGACTCAATAACCACATAGATTATACAGGGTGTCCAAAAGATCTGGAAACACTATAATAACTTTCCAGGTGATTTATTTTTAAAATACGTCAAAGTCACTTTTAAAGTAATTTTCAACAAGGGATTCAACGATCACCTTGGATTTGACATTGAAGATGACAATGACGGTTTTTTCAAGGTCAAGTTAATTTTTTTTAAAAGAAAGCGCCTTTTTTGACATCAGCAATCGAAAGAGCAGGAAATTTTACGTCCAAAACCATTGACATCAAAAATTTCTCGTTGACCTTGAAGGTCATTTTAAGGTCATTCAATTCTTAGAATAACTCGATTGATGGAAATAGACCAAACCTTATCATAGATTTTTTTGTTTGATCGCAGTTAGCCGTGACTTCAAACTCGACCTTATTCGTATCCTGCATGGTCATTTTAAGGTTAAAGTTTTTTTTTCTGATGTCCTCCTTATCTGATATCGGCAATTAAAAGAGCACAAGTTCCCATACTTTTATTTTTATCATTACTCAGGAACAACTACTGGTTATTACCCTTTCAAACTGCTCTGGTATGCTCGTCAAACAATTTTCCAGTGCAATAGCTTACAATTCAAAAAAAATATTTTACTCTTTTCTGAATTTTCATATTCTGATGAGCTTGTAGATACGGTCTACTGCAAAGAATAGTACAATGGACAAACTAACTGATAGAGAAAAAATAACGCTTCTCATGATGAGAGGTTGGTCCAGTGCAGCAATCTTATAGAACAGTGAGAGATGTTTTGAATGAAACATTTAGAGCTGATAGAACTCTAATTTTATTTTCAACAGTTCAAAAACTGTTAGAAGGTTTGAAAATACTCGGACTATTAGTGATCTACCTAGATCAGGCAGACCAAGATCAGTAAGTGGTAAAGAGTAATCATTATATGTTTTGTTAACATTTACTACCGATGCACATACTTCCATTCGTAGAACCGCTCAAGAGCACGAAATAAGTAAATCATCTGTTCATAACATACTACAGAAAGTAAATTTCCATCCAATCAAAGTAACACTGATACACGAGCTAACCGAAGATGATTTCGATCGTCGCGTTGAAATGTGTGACAATATGATGGGTCGCATAGTTCAAAATCCCAATTTTCTATCTAATATAGTATTTTCAGATGAAGCTACATTTGAACTTAACGCAAGTTTGAATAGGTATAATTGTGAAGTGGCTCCATAAATAAATAATATTAGTGAATAAGGGAAGGGTACTCTACAAACGGATAATCCTTAATAAATATGAAAATCGAGAGCTTTACGAACGAGTACGTTTCGAGAGAAAATCGAGAAGATAGACAGATGTAGCAGATACAAATGATATAATGATACAAATGATATAATGATACAAATGGTATAATGGCATAATGAAATATACAAATGATACAAATGATGATAAAAATACAAATACAACGAGAGAGAAAGATAAAGGTAACAAAGAGGAAACTTCTTCACGCCAGTGTGCTCTCCCACTCTGGAAGATATAGCATTAATATCAGACGGCACTGCTGGGTCATTAATAAGATAGAGTTACAATCCTATGTAGCTAACGTGGAAATAATAAACCGACGGAATGGATAAGAAGACAACCGAACAAACGTTGAAATACACAGCAATGGCGATATCTATCCAAACGATGTGGCTGTTGATGACAAGAGTGGTAATGGACAATTCAATGAGGGGGTATCCTAGCCGGTAATGCCTTTCCGACAAAACAGGAATAGTACAACGCACAAGTAAGTCATGGTCCAAGGTAACTGGTCCTCCATAATAAAAGGAGACCAACACCATCTTTGTTTGACCAAAGGATAGAAAAACTTATACAGATACTCTACGTCGACCTTAAACGAAGATTAATCCTAATAGTTCAAAACCAAGCATCGCATCTCAAGCTATTGAAAAACAAAGAAAGGAATACTCTTAATGAGTTTCTGCAGCGACGTCGTAGAGAGATAAAAATTCTAAAAAAATCTTCATCAGACTCTATGAGATGACAGAATGATACAGGACTTGACGCAGACACAGACAGAGAAGATCCTAGATCTAAACAATGTCACAGATACGGACAACGTCAACAACGCACATAGACAAGAAATAGAACAAGACATGGACTAACAGAAGTGACATCTGTATGGCAGTATTCGAGATGTAGAGACACAGCTCATACGCTGCTCAAAAAGAACAGAATCAAAATCGTCTATGTTAATTGTCGGCTGAGAGAAAGGATAACTGTTTCTAAGTGCTACTAATAAGAGAACAGTACTCCTGGAAATATATTGTGTCCGATCATGTTGCAAAGATCTACTCGGCCAAATGACTGACATGCTTCTTGTGCTCTGAGGCGTAGGTGGAGCGGAGCAAATCACGAGAACGGAGACGTCCATGGTCTACCACATTGCGTTGGAGAAGCATCAAAATCAGATAAATATAACAGGAAATCTGTAAGGTAACTTACGCAGGTGTGAGTCTGCCCAGCTGCTGCTATCACAATAGTAAAAGAAGGAATATTTATGAGTCAGATAACAACGCAAGAGATGATCAACGTAATAGAAACTAAATCGGGTTCGGAATTTTGAAACATACTGTACAATGCATTGCTGAAACTGAATATGCCATCGGGGGTAGAGCTATTTGTCTATACCAATGATTTGATAGTGGTGATAACAGCACGAACTTCAAAACTGACACAAACTATAAAAAGCCGCGCGATGTTAAGAATCAACAAATGAATGACGCGACATGGACTATCTCTGGCCTTGGATCAAATAGATCTTATGCTCTGGACAGGAAGCAGGATCAATCAAACTTTTATTGATCCACTCGATCATGCAATACAGCGCGAATATATGGGCCGATGCGCTGAAGATTAGAAAATATAACAAATGTCTGACGAATCGACAGAGACAAGGAGCATTGAGGATTGCCTGCACCTATAGACCAGTATCTGTCGAGTTTTTTTTTGTTGCAGGTGTAATTCGTATAGATCTCTCCACTCAAGGACAGAAGCATATTTACGAATGGAATACAGACGTAACGAGAATAGAAGCTGTTGAAGAGGAAAAAAATAGGACAATGACGGAATGGAATGAACGATAAAGGACGAACTGGAAAAGTACGTGGATGAGACGCCTTATTAACGATCTGAAACCGTGGACACGAAAGAAATTTAGGGAAGTGAACTTCTTCCTGACTCCATTCCTCTCCAGTCACAATACTTCAGGAAATATTTATTTGACACGAGGAAAATAATTAGCTCAAACTGTAAATATTGTAGATATGAGTCGAATAATAAGAGCAGAACACACATTTTTCATTGTAACAGATGGAATATGAAGAGAAGACGACTGGAGAAGATAATAGATAGTATCACGCTAGAAAAGATAATGGTGAAGATGCTTTAGGATAAAAACATCTAGACAATAACTGTGACGTATGTCGAGACCTCATTAACTTCTCTAAAACTTCTCTATTATAACCTCCTTCATATACACGCGCGCATCCCACGATGTCACTATATCGCGGGTGTGCTCATTGAACCAACCTTTATGCGCGATTATTAACGATTATCGTTAATATATAACATAAACATTTATGTTGATTTAAATTCATAAAAGAAAAACACTTTTTACATGTCAATTTTCGACACAAAAATGTCAAGTTATGCAGGTATTACACAGCTTAATGTTCAATATGGAGTAAAAGTATTTTAAAAACACAGAGAATAATTTTAGTTTCGCTATAGTTTTTGTTTAGTGCATAGAAAGGTTTATTCATACAACAAATATTGTCATATCTTTCAAATAAATAGATCTTTAACCACCATTATATTATGAAATAAATCAACATGGCATACCTGACAAACATTGAACGCATAGAATATTGATGACATATTATGTATTGATGACTTGTAATGATCAGGAAAAGCAGAAAAAATAACTTGAATATGATCTGCAACATAGCATGAAGCTTCTTGTGGGATTGGTTGTGATGCAGGAATAGGCGATCCATTTAATTGGATCACTTTATTTCCGGTAATAGCTAAAGAATGTGCCAAAGATCCAAGCAGTAGCCAAGATAATAATCTGATATGATTCACGCAGTCTGTAAATTCTCGAGACCTGTGGAAATAGTTAATTATATGAAATTCAATACTTTTTCATTATTATTGTGAGAGTCATAACGCAAAGGTCTTTCTTTCGACTTATTCAGTAATCTGATAATTGAGCTTGCTATTTTTGAAACTAAGGTCATTTCTGACTAAATATGTTGATTTGGACTGAAAGGTCTTTTAAATTTATCATTATAGCACTATATTTGATATAAAAAAGGAAGCCTCCTCATCAATTTTCAGCTCTTATAAAAAAATGTATTTCGGCACTTTTTTCAGATTGACATCTAATTTTGGCAAAATTCAATAATTTTAGTGATCTTTTTTTATTTATCTTCCTGAGCAGAATTTTTAACAGAAGGTGTTGCCAGACTACCACTCTGGCAACGCTTTCTCCATTTCGCGCTATTTATTGTATGTAAAGCGTCGTCGTAAAGTAAGAGAGAGATTCAAGCATCCGTAGCGAATGGCCATTTCACCGCTTCTTTATAAAGGTTAATCGAACCTATCTTATTTTAATTGTATGTTTCCGTTATGAGTTAGAAGCTTCTTACTCATTTTCTAACACTTTATTAATGTAAAATTATTGTTTAATCTGTACACCTTCGGCTTATTCCTTCTTACGTTGAGGAAATTTCTATAAGCTTATTAAAATCCTTTCATTTAATTTAAATACATTCTTTTTATTCATGCAATCCTCACACTGCCCTTAATTCAAACCACTACTCATTATTGCTCAATTCAACGCATTTTCTTCACTTTGTAATTTATTTGACCTCAATTATATAAATTTACTACCTGCTATATGAGGTTTATCCGTATTAATTCCGTGATTTATCTGTCTATTCGCTTATTTTCTATGAACAAACAATATTATTGATATGAACAAATACAAACTTACGATATAATCTTACATATCTAAAGCCAAAAGGGTCATTTTTGCAAATGCTCACTCATGCCTTACACAGAAATAAAAAAAAATTAAAATAACTTAATGATACTCCTAACTCAAATATGATTTTCATAAAGACTAACCCAGATTTATGCAGATAGTGAACTTCAGAAAGTACCCTGTATATATATATATATATATATATACAGGGTGTTCCAGACCACCCGTACACCCCCTCTAGAATCCAAAATAATGGATTAATCAAAAACTGCTTCAGACAAAAGTTGCTGGGCTTCGAGGGGGACATATCCGTACGACCTTGGCTTTGACCTTGGAGGTCATGTTCAAGGTCATTTCAAGGTCAACTTTGTTTTTTTAAATAGGAACCCCCATTTTTGACCCCGGATTCGGAAAGAGCGGGAAATTTTACGTCCAAAACGGTATTTTTAAATTTTTTTTCATGGCCTTGAGAAGGTCGATTTAAGGTCAAATGCTTGAAAAACTGCCTAAAAGCGTTTTTTTAATTTTTAAGATATCGAAAAATGACCTCTACAAAATTTGTTCAGAACAGAGTGGGCCACCCAATGCACCAAAAACCTTTGACCTTTAACCTCATTTAGAAGGTCATTTCAAGGTCGAAGTGTTTTTTGTAATGGAAATCCCTCTTTTTAACCCCGGATACGCACATAGCGCGAAATCCGACGTTTGGATAAGGTATTGTGTTGAGTTTCGCGCTATGTGCGAATTCGGGGTCAAAAATGGGGGTTCCTATTAAAAAAAACAAAGTTGACCTTGAAATGACCTTGAACATGACCTCCAAGGTCAAAGCCAAGGTCGTATGGATATGTCCCCCTCGAAGCCCAGCAACTTTTGTCTGAAGCAGTTTTTGATTAATCCATTATTTTGGATTCTAGAGGGGGTGTACGGGTGGTCTGGAACACCCTGTATATATAAATATATACGAGGGTGGTTCGATAAGTACTTAGCCTACAAAAGAAAAACGAAAATTTTGGAAAAGTGGCGTTTTATTTTTCAACATAGTCTCCTTTTAGTGCGATACACTTGGCCCAGCGATGCTCCAACTTCTTTAACCCGTCGAGAAATACGTTTCCTCGAGGTCTGGAAAGTAGGCTTCCGTGGCAGCGATTACCTCCTCATTCGACTCAAATTTCTGCCCGCCGAGTGACTTTTTCAAGTTTGGAAACAAAAAGAAGTCGCACGGGGCTAAATCTGGAGAATACGGTGGATGGGGCAGCAGTTCGTAGCCTAATTCGACCAATTTGGCCATGGCGACGGCGGAGGTGTGAGCCGGTGCGTTGTCATGGTGGAAGAGCAGTTTTTTCTTCGCTAAATGGGGCCGTTTTTTCTGCAATTCGACGTCGAATCAGCCCAATAATTCGGCATAGTACAGCCCTGTGACCGTTTTGCCCCACTCCAGGTAGTCGATGTAGATCACACCTTGTGAATCCCAGAAAACGGTGGCCATCACCTTTCCGGCCGATGGGGCAGTCTTCGCATTCTTCGGAGCACTTTCGCTGGGTAAAGTCCACTGTTTCGACTGTTCCTTGGTCTCTGGTGTATACCAGTGGATCCATGTTTCGTCGATTGTCACGAAACGACGCAGAAACTCCTTCGGATTGCGCTTAAACAGCGTCAGACATTGCTCTGAAGTTGTCTCACGGTCGCGCTTGTTGTCCGGAGTGAGAAAACGTGACACCCATCTCGCCAACAGCTTTCTTATGCCCAAAATTTCATGCAGGACATGACCCACGCGGTCTTTTAAGAATAAAGGAATTTAATTTTTTTTTTACGCTTAGTTTTAGTTTTTTTGTGATTTACTACGTCCCTAGACATTTTAAAACGAAGCGTAGAAAAAAAGTTAAATTCCTTTATTTTTTTAATGCGCTAAAAAACCGAAAAAAATTTTGTTCTCTATTTCTTTATTTTAACTTTATTTTCGTATTCTTGGGCACAAAATGAAACTTTTTTCTCCTTGGTATTTTTTTCCAAAACGTACGCAAGTCGAAGTAATTGAGAATTGAAAAAAAAGGTTATTTTTTTACAAAAAACGCCGTAACTCGGTTAAAGAACATCGGATAGAACCCCGCGATGGGCTAATTTTAAAGGGAAAGACATTACCCTCCGAACCCCTTCGGTCGATTTGCCCTCCACCGCCTGGTTCTAAATTGGCATTGATTTAAGTCGAGGTTAAAAAAATTGAAATTTTTTTAATCAGTTTTTTTACTGTAAAAAATACATATTTTCATTTTTAAGTCTCTGCACATCTTAAATGGAAGCTTTTGCAATTACCTTTAAAATGCCTTGCCGTTTTTTGTGATACGATGATTTCCGACCGAGATACAAAACTTTCAAGTTTGCCTAATTTTGAGGTAAGCATGGCAAAAGTGATTAACGGGCAGTGTATACGAGTATATAACCTGACAATGGAAACAAACACTTGACCAAGTTTACGATAAATATTCAAGACACTATCTATCATATATATATATATATATATTGTAACGGGGTAAGACCGTTTAATTATTTTATGCGCGTAAATACTCTAAAAGGACGCGCGTAATTAATTATGCTCGGTACGCAAATCGGAGAGCATGTAAAGATAGTCGCCAGTCAACCAGTAAATTGTCTAATCTAAGGAAAGTGTAAATAACCTATAATCAATCGGGAGTGAGTAGAAGCTATAAGATATGAGAGAATCAAAGAAAACACTTGTTAGTAATGTAAATTGGATCTTTTATTATCCCTCATACTCTACAGAAGGTCGGCCCGCGCGTTTGTTTACGTTCACGCTCGCTCATCGACAACACGCTTTGCCACTACGCTCGCTGCTCTTTGTTATTAGAACCGTTACTTGCACGCATCAAATATTAGAATTAAATTATTGTTCATACGATCGCGATCGCGAAATTAAGCTGGCCAGCTTACCTTATACTTGCAGGCGATCGGAGAAAATGAAGAGCAGTCGCACTGCACGAAACTGTTTATTATTGTTTTGCTCGCGGGTCGCGAGTGCGCGCACACACTGGTTTCGCCCTCGATGGCGAAACCTCACACACTCTCTCTCTCGTCCTGGTCTCGAGCTGTCGGATGGATAACACCTTGACGGCTGCAATCCTGGATCACTGGCTGCTGCTGTTTTGATGTGCGTAGCTATCAAGGGCACGTGAATCGGCAGATGCGGTAGCGAAAGCAGGCGGACACGACAATGGTCTATGCTTCACTCGTTCAAATTCTATTGCGCGCGTTCCGTCTGCTCGCGTGCCGAATTCCTTCGTTACCTATTTCGTCCCCCCGGCAGGTGCTGCCCTCACAGGCAGCAATTAAGCTAAATGATCAGCGCTAATTTGACGTTTACCGACACAATATATATTTCAACTGATAATATTATTTGCTTTAAGTATCAGAAAACAGATTAATAGATACTAGCTCTATCCCGTATTACAAGAGCCTTGCATTCGATCAATTCCTCCAAGGAAAAAACGGGCTCGTTCAGATAGGGACGAATAAATAAAAAATTGGTATTAAAATTAGATTTGTCATCATGAATGATCAAGAAAAAATCGAAGTATTAGAAAATCTAATTTGTATAAAGACAAACTTAATATGTATGGCCCAAAAAAATAATGAATCAACTCATAAATTTGGAAAAAGAGCCATGAACTTATTAAAATCATACAAGATTGCAGGCCATTTAGCTCAGTTACAGTTAGATGAAGTAACAGACACTATGGAAGAAAGAGAACAATTAGCAACGATGTGGTTTGTTAAATACCTAAACAAAGGCATAAAAAGATATATGTGTCAATACAAATTTTATAGTTCATTACAGCAGGCAGTTGCACACGCTGAACAAATTAGCAACAATCTAAATGAATTAGAAAATATTGCAAATTGCAGATTTAGCAGCTAATCAATATCAAAATATTCAAAGATCTTATTTTTAATTACATAATATATTTGATTCATTAGATAAAATTTATAAAAGAGTATTATTTAAGAAAAATTGTAATAACAATAATACACGATCTAACCCAAGCATGGATTAACAATAGTGTATTTGACGTTAATGGTTCTATAAGCTTGTATAAAAAAAATAT